TCCTCGGTATAACTCATCACCTCAGTCTCCATGCAGCAATGTGTTTCCTTTTCTGCAATATAGCTCATTGTGTCAGTCTCCATGCAGTGATGTAGTTATCAAACTCTTTTCAAATATCTATCCCCTAAGTTACGATATATATGTGAATAAAACTTGCATAATTCATTGCATCAGTCTCCACGCAGCAAAATGTTGTCAGACTTTGCTTTATTCATCCCCTAGGTTGTGATGAATAAGAAAAATAAAATCAAACCAAAACTTACTATATTAGTCTCCAAGCATTAGTAAGTCAGCTTTGCACGACTTATATTACTTTACCTCTCTGGTTATGGTAAATATGCAAACGATCTCTTCTTAGATATTGACGAGTTATCCGTGTCGTCATATCTAAGTCAAATCAACTTTGGTTGAACGTTGGTAAGATGATACATCATCATCTATGTCTATTCTTTACACTCGTGAGAACACTGTACAGCGTATCTTTGAAATCTTTCGGATAAATTTTAGAGTCTTCCAATATTTAATAAACTTTCGATCAGAATGTGCGAGACATGCGTATTCTCACACTATTTAATCAAAAGATAATTAAATAGGGGAAGTTGTCATACCCCAAATTTGTCCTACCCTTATATTATATTTAGGGTTCTTTTTAAATAAATCATATTATATAGTTTTTATTTCTATGGAGGAGTAAAACATGGAAAGGGGTGTGTTGATTTAAAATGGACCATCAATATTTGATGGCCCATTAGGTTTTTAAAAGATGGTCCATTTCAAGTTAAAAAGGGAGGTGTATTGTTTTAACCGAGGAGGTGTGAACAAATTATTTTTATCAATAAGGTCCATTAAGGTTTTTGAATAAGGTTGGAAGGGTGTATAAAAGCAATCTGTTTTTTTTTGTTGAGGCCATAGCAAATTATTTGTGTGGATCCAATAAAGTGAACTTCTGGCCCATTTCAGTTTTTTGATTTGTTTTGAAAAAAAAATATTTTGTTTGATTTATTAGTATCAACATCACTATTACTTTTACTCTTATTAAATGTTGATTTTAGTCAAAATATTATATTATAAATTTAATAAAAATTGATTTTTGTTTTTATTTAAGAGAAAATTGTTAACAAAAAGGGCTTCCAAAGTGGCAGAGCCCAGAACCAGGCAAGCCCAAGACAATAAAAAAATGTGTGCTAAGTGTTTTAAAAACTTACTTCATGAATTGATGAATAGTAGAGTTTATTTTAAAGCGTAAAACAAACACTGTACGAATTTTTATTACCTCTACTACTGTACGAATTCATTAAGGAAAATAGCGCTTGTTTATGAAAACCAAATCAAATCCTTATTCTTCTCATAACAGAAACAAATCACACTAAAAGTCATAAACAAATATTCACATACAGAAACTAATCAATACAAATCAAACTTTATGCACAAACGAACCAATATGAATTACAACTGAATCAAGCAGATACAGAAACATATCAAATGCTAATCAATACAAATCAAGATTTTATAGTTAATACAGAAGCAAATTAAAATGGAATCAACGTTATCTTCTAAATTTCCTAATCAAATCAAAAATAACGACAGACATAAAATTATTTCCTAATTTCTAATCCCTAATAACATCTCATAATTGTATTTCTTAAATATACTAATTCAAAAAAGCTATAAAACCTAAGACTAATAACAGAGGGACGGGGGGAGAGATTTCACAAAAAATTACAGGGAAGATGATTTTTTTTTCAAAAAATAGAGACGGAGATCTTGAGGGAGAGAAGCATCGCTATGCCGCCACCGTCAAACCTTTGTCTTCATCGCTGCTGTAGATCCGTACTCATCGCTCCGGTTTAGGGTTTCAAGATCTAAAACCCTAAACTCGTTGCCATCACCTCTTTCATATTCACTACGCCGTCGTCCTCACCATCCACTGCCACCTGCGAAACAAGGAGAGAATCAAAGAGGGACCGGAGAAACGTAAAAATTCAAACACATCCAAGGTAACCAAAACACTTAGCTTCCGTTTTTCTTCATGGTGGATATTGTTGTATGCTTGTCTCGAAAGGATTTAGGGGGCTTAAGGATCAAAGTTAGGAAGGTTGAAGTTTGTGTTGTTGCGGTTTAAGTTAGACGAAAAGGGATTAGGTTTTTTTTGTTGCGTGTAAAGAAAAGAGAGAACGCACAGAGAGACGGGGAGAGAAAGAGGAATAAATGACAAAATAAAAAACTTTTTCGTTAAAATGAAAATATGTTAAGTCTTGCGATCAAGTACATGCTAGTCTACCATCACTACCATACTCCACAAATCTGAACCGTATGATCACAATCCTACTCTCCAAAACGTGCGCCCTACCATACTGCCATATGCCTTCCCGTATGGAATCCAAACGGATCTCCACACCTCCCTGTCTGTTGGGCCTAGCCCATACCTAATTACACCCTTATTTCTTTTTATTTTTACTAACACCGACAAAAACGCACCCCCAGGCCAAAACGGGCCAAGTCCAAAATCTGGACTTGAGCCCTGGCTCTTTACACCATCACTTTTTTATACCCCTCTTTACTAGCTTAGTATAATTTATACCCCGTGCGTTTTTTTCTATTTTTATTTTATTTTATTTATTTAATTATTTTTTATATTTTTTTTTTATTTTTTTATTTTTATTAATATAATATTATTTATTTTATTATTATCATATAAACCATAATATATTTTTTTAAATACATTCAAATATATTTTATTCTTTTAAATTATTTTTTTAATCATGCATTAATTATAACATTTTCATAATTAATATACTAAAAAGTATTTAACTAATGACAAATTATTTTCGTAAATCAAATTAATCCAACAATTATTCTTCAAAAAGGGTTACAAATATATTTGAATCAACTGCGTACACCGCTATTCGTAGACTCAGACCGAGTATGCGGAAAATTTAAATATACTTTTTAAATCCATAAAAAAGTACAAACCAACTGCGAACTACGAAATGGGACTCTGATTCCTCCTAGGAGGATACGTAGGCATACGATTAAAATCGTGTCGAGTTTCCCTAATAAAACTTAAAACCCTATTTCATAAAATGCACTTCTAAATCTAGTATCCTTGTGAACAAGGTAGATAAGGGGTACCTAACACCTTTTCCTCATCTAGAACCGAGTCCAAATCTAGAATCTCTGAACTTTTTAGGGTTATTCATTTATACTCCCTTCCTTAGGATGAAAATTAAGGGTGGCGACTCTGATAAAAAAATCGGTTATAACAGATGTCTCTCCCGCCTCAAATACCATCGGTGAGGAAGTGCGTCTACGGGAGAACGGATACGGAGAGGGATGAACTGGAGAATCCCGCCTACTGTGGGAGGATGATGAAGTCGGAGTAGAAACAGGGGTATTTGAGGCTGAGGATGAGGCTATAGGCGCATCCGACACAACCTGTCCATAGGCCGAAGGAGCCTGAGATTTCCGACTCCTTTCCCTCTGCACATAAGCATGTTGCACAAGCGTATCGTGCCTCAACCTAGATGGTCTCTCATCCATTAATCTTGTAGAAGTACAAAATAAACGTTAACATAAGGAATACTGTTCAAAATGAAGGGAAAATAGAAACAGACTATAACCGAAAATGCATTACCGATTTTCTTCAACTTTAAAATGAAAATCGAAAATACATCCCGGTACGACCTGAAATTTCAGAGCATCGTCAATGGCGAAGAAGAGCCACAAATGACCTCAAAAAAATGGTCATTGATTATAAAAATGAGACTTTCAACACCTTTCTAATGACTCTTAATATTAAAAACACAAAAAAAAAAAACTCACAATTTCTAACCTAAGTCAAAAATTTGAGTAGAAATTACATAAACTCTAAAAAACTCAAAAAAAAAACTTATAATTGATGATGCCTCTTGATTGAATGTGGTTGAACAGTTAAGTTAACTGATGCTTTACGATTCCTGACAAGTTTTTGTGAAGTGGTTTGATTTCGTAACAATGGGTATTTTGTGTGTTTTGAAAATACTACTGTAAAAGGAGGAAAAAGACAGCGCGCCTTTAAGTCAGAACGCAGATCGGAAATATATTTTCGATTGCCACCGTAAATTCAATTTCAGTTCCTATCTTGATTGGAGCTTGGATTCCAAAACCAGATCATTGCGTATGTTTGGGGTGCAATCGAAAATATATTTATCATTGCCACCAGAGGTATATTTTCGATTTGTACCCAACCTTTATATACCATATATGTATGTACAAGATGCGTATCAAAAATAAATTTCCGATTTTAAAAAGTATTTTTGAAATTTCACGTAGTGTGTTAAAAAACTATAGGGTAGGAAAAAAATCCTCTATTTGATTTAGAGTTCAATTGACAGAAGAGTTGGGAACAAACACATTAAAAACAAAGATGGTGATAAACAAATGCAAACTAAATGCCACACATGAAAAACCAAACACCGTTTGGGAGAAGTAGATGAAAAGACCTTATTTGACACTATAAAAAGATAAGGAATCAAATTGATTTTTTTAAAAGTTAAAAAGATTATGTCTACAATGCCCTTGACTAGTCATGGACAGACACTTCACATGACATGTACATGGATATTTGTTCACTCACTCAAGCTCAAGCCAAAGAGGGAAATAGGAAAATAGTGACAAAAGTGTCGATGAATATGAATGCTTTTCACACTTCCTTTAATGGATCACTTAGCTGATATAACAAACAAGAATGCAGCATGTGGAGGGGGCACAGATACAGCACAATCCTCCAAAATGCCTTATAACTGATAATAGCCTACTAATAGAAAGAGGTAAGAAAAAATAAATAATAACTTTACAACTATGTCAAACACAACGTGGCATTTGTTACAAAATATATTGGAATAGAATCAACATAAACCAATTGGCAATGGTTATTATCATCCCAATCAAAACCATAAACGCTAAAGAACTTGGCTAAGATCTTGTAGTATAGGTGTGCTGGAATTGAAAGCATTGCACTCTCACATTATTATGCAATTGCACTTTGATTCAAGCTTTGGGGGCTTCATACTATTATCTACTTTGTTAGGAAGCCCGGCATTATTTGTGAAAGACTCGACGATATTTTCATCATTCTCCGTCTTGCCAGAAACAATTTTGACACCAGTTTCGACACTCTTTGGTTTGCTCTTTGGAGTTTTTACAGGCCGCTTGCCAACAGGTCGTCTGCGAATATCCTTTCTGTCAGGATCGGGTTTCCCCAATAAAGTTACTGTTGGTTCAGAACCTTCGAATGGACCAGAGCATTCATTTTCCATTGCTATTGTTGCAGCTTTATATGCTAGATCATGGATGATAGAACTGCAAAAAAGGATTGCATCTGTTGCCTCTTCAAGTGTCAGGCTTCTAGTGTTGCCTGCACCTGGACAATCCACTGTAACGGTTGATTCCTCTGACATAAAGCATAAGGGAACAGTTAGAAATTGACCATGTTCTAATTTTCTATAAAAGAGTGTAGATGTGGAAATTTATATCACTGATTTTACAATTTCAGAGAAATGAATCAAGAAAAAATATCAGAACTATTCTAACTCTAAAAAATTGATACTATGTTTTACTATATCCCACTATTAGCATCAGAAGCAGTCTTTTACTGAGATTAAATTGTCCTTCTATAAAGTTTTGTATATCATAAAATTACCCAAAAGGTTTATGCAATGCATGGTGTATGTATAAATGAGTGCATATTTGAGAAGAGAAGCTATTATTCTCATTTCAATAATTATTACTAATATCTTTCCATCGAAATTTCAATACAGTAAATACCGTACCAGTGCAATGGGACTCAGATGCATTGAGCTCGGAAACAGAAGCAGTGTGACAATCATTGGAAGGATTTCGAGCAGAAAGTTCCTGTAAGTCATCGAGAGCATGTTTTGATGCCAGATCAGTATCTTCCCCTTCAATTTCTGATTCTGTGATTGTAGAACAGTTGGCAATAGCCGAAGCATTCAGTTCATTAGCATCATAACTCTGCACATCAAGATTCTCATGACATGATGACTCTGGAGTCCTAACTGACGTTTCTGTGTTTGAGACGCTCCTTGCAATATCTGAATGGTCTTCAATGTTTTCATATGAAATACAACCCCCGGGATCTGGAAATGATGTCACTATATTGTCATCAGGTCCAACACCAGCTGTGTGGCTTAAAAGTTCTGAGCTGCAAGCATTATTTCCTCTACTACTATCATCATTTTCTAGTTTTTCTTCCTCAACAAAAGTTGAATCGATAGGAGAAGCCTGAATTAAATCTGTCGTTGTATTTTCTAAAGCTTGATATTCATGCAGAACTTGAGGTATCTCCTCCACAGGGCTACATTCTGTGTTGCCGGAAGTTTCTCGATTTGGAAGACCCACTTCATGGTGAGAATGGTTTGAAGGTATAGAGAAAGATGAACCGGCGGTGCTCGGAGGCTTAATCCTTAAGTCATGTCCGCAGTCCGCGTCCAATTTCCGGCCACTCAACTGCCTGTGCATACGAAACTCTGTTTGTTTAGTAGAGCTAAAATCAGTTGAGGATGATGCAGAATAACTGCCAGGTCTTGTCGAGCTTCTTATACTGTTTAAACTGTCTCTTGACAGAGACAGGTCATCATAAGATATAGTTGTGGCAGTAAAAGTCCTTGCCCGAACAATAGGTCCTTTGTTGCTGCTGGACCTTTTCAGCAATACAGAAATGCCGGTGCCTTCCATGAGGTCCATGTCCATATCTGGGCGATCACTGTAGTGATCCAACATCTGATCCCCAATTTCATCGTTGCGTTTCTTGTAATCAACTCCTGATTGGTTCGTCTCTAGCCAGTTTGTAGGCATATGCTCACCTCCCTCCCTCAGTGAACTTGGATTTGAACTGTTTTGTGAGCGAACCCGGTTTAGTTCGCTGCATGAAGTTTGACTTTCGTCATAACCATGTTCGCCAAAGGGAGATTGAGAAAGTTCAGATGCAGTCCTTAGTTGGCTTGTTTCAACCGATGAACTTTCTTCTTCTTTGGGCATGTTTGTAGAAATCGCTGAAGAACCTTCAGATACAGCCAACACTGTCTCAGGGAGGTTTGCTCTCAACAATATGGTTTTCCTGCTGCATTGTAGACAAAGCTCAATATTCTCCTCAGTTTGACTAATGACTTGATAACAACAACCACATTGAGAACAGATTGCTGTGTTTTCAAAACTACCAGTTTCAGAAATGACATCTCTGACATGTGAAGTTTCTGAACTTTCATTGCCTTCAGCATCAGTTGGACCAAAAACAGTATTGGTGCCTTTGTTTTGATTTTGCAGGAGATCAACTGATTCCTTGTTGATTTCATGTTCAATATTGGCATCTAGTCCATCAATCTTATCAAAGGCAAACACTTCTTCATGCAAATCAGAATATAACGTCTTATCAGTTTCACTTGCCATATCATCTTGACTATGGTCAATCCCTTCGGTATCTTGAGCAAAAATTGTTACTCGGTCAGAGGTTGCATTGCTGCTTGTTGCAATGGAGGAGTTCCTAGACACAAGGGATCGATGTGCAGAATTTGCATTTCCAGCATAAAGGGTTGTACTAGGAACACTTGATAAAAGAGGCCTGAACATGTTTTGAGGGCTTTTCCTATCCTGCATGGAGCATGTAGAATTGCACAGGTTAGAGCCAATAGGACACCAAAATTTCCCTGTTAATGTTTACACTGAAACACACAAAGCCCACCAAACAAACTTAATAATGACGTGATAAGAATCCATTGGCTTGGAACCATTGTCTAATCAAGTGTAATTCTTTTTGATAAAAAATACAGGTAAGAAAATGTGCAACTGAAACCAAACATAAAAAGAGCAAATAAAAAATCAGATAGTACTAAAGAATTAGATGATAAAATACCATTTGACGGAAAGCAGAGTCGAATGATTTTTTAGGAGCAGAATTCGGGGACATCATCCTGGGTGATTTCTTGGAAATGGCAGGAGTTCTGTTGGTTGAAAACGAACCATCTCTTCTTGAACTCAATCTGTCTAAGCTACCGACTGGGATGGAGGGAAGAGAGTCGAGATCATCATCGCCAGATGATGCAACAGAACCTTTGCTGCGTGAACTGAATGGGTCTCGATCATGACTCTGAATAGAGCTACTGCTTCTAGAAGCAGTTGGAGACATTGATTGCCTGCTGAATTTGGGTGTGGATTCCCTACCACTGGATTCCCTACCATTTCTGGATGCGGGAGATGAACCCCTCACATATGTTGCTGGTCGATCAGCCAACGAAGTACGGAGATTGGGAGGAGCTTCAGAAGAGAAGCCGGGTATATTAGTTTGCCATGCTCTTATCTTTGGTGATGAAGAGTTTCCACGAGTTGTCTTAACCGGGGAATTTACCCTAACTCCAGATGAGACAATAGAGCCACTGGAACCAGTGCTCAACCTTCGCGGAGTAAAAGTGGAAGACCTGGAAGCAGGTGTAATGGGCTTATTCGGAGGTGGAGATGATCTTCTTGTAGGAGTAGCATACCGTAAACTTGAGGACGTTGGACTGTAATTTGGCAATGATGAAGGCCTTCCTCCTGCTTGTGATGTATTAGTTCCCGATCGAGGAGATGGACTTAAACGATTTGGACTTGCACTGCCCCTACTGCTTCTGCGACTTTTCTCCATCTGAAACACAAAGGCATCCAACGTATGATGAATGAGAAGTATAAGCCCAATCACATTACTTGAGATGGAATAAACTAAAGGAACTTTTCCATCTAATAATGCAGGAATATGATAATAAAAATATTTCAAAATCTCACCGTAGAAGATCTTGATATAGAAATGGGTTTACTAGGCCTTCCTCTGCTTGCTACATTAGCAAATGGTGGATCTTCGTCCATCGAAGGAAACAGTGGCGTATCCGGGGGCGTCAATAACCTTAAAATTAATGATACAAATATAAGCAGCGGTGACCAAAATCAACAAGTGCGGCTTAGTGATCAAGAAACTGACATTATAGTCTAACCATGTCCATGCATTCTTAATGTAGAAACAAAGACAGTTGCAAACAGTTAGAATCAACTCACCAGTTATAGTCATTCTTGTCGCCATCTATATTAAGCAAGTCACTAGTTCCTCGCCGACCAGGAATGGAGATTCCAACATTGACATCGGATAAATGTCTCAACCTCGTAGCTGTAAAAATAATACCCGCAAGATAGAAGTAAGAAATGCATCAACAAATATCACATAACTGAATCAACCAAAGAATGGCACAACTTTTTCATAAGAAGACAGTAAAGAAAATTACCGAACGAATCTTCCAAGTCATCTGAAGATTGAAGCAAAAAACTATCTCTTTCTCTAGTCTGCATTTCATTGAACAAAGCAAGATCGTCATCATTCCCCCGGAGAAGTATTATTCCACTTTCAAGACTATGCCTCCGCTTGTGACCATCTCCTCTCACCTCTCTCCCCGGAGAGTATCTCATCGCTGGGGAAGGCGGCATCTCCACTTCCCAAACCAGTATCCAACAAGTATTACCGCGACCCCTCCAAATAAACCGAAATACAAAACCTAACTAGTAGCACCCATAAATTTACCTCAATTCCCAAAACCTACAACAAATTCAAACCCCAATCATCACTTTCAGCACAAAAAACAAAACAAAAAGAGAGAAAGCTTCTATTGGTTCTTAGATGAAATACCCAATAAACACTAGCATCATCATACTACTGATTAAGACTGAGTCAACAAAACAGCATAAATATAGAAACGAGAGAAAATTCAACTTATTAAAATAGTAACCCGTTGGGAATAGGAACAACTGTACCATTAAAAATGCAATAATGACTCAATAATAGCTCAACATTCACACACAATTTTTTTTCCAAAACAACAAATTAACCCTTTGAAACCCTAAAATACAAACAAGCTAAAGAACCCAATTATGAAACTTTGAGTTAAAAGCAAACCTAATTGAAACCTAAAATTGAAGTTGAGGACCAATTAAGCAACCAATGAAGATGAAAACAACATAGGAGCTTACTTAGGAAAATTGTTTGACCCAAGTCAAAATTGGTTCAACGAGAACGTGGAAGGTGGAAGAAAAAGCAGTTGAAGATCCCAAGTTTTGGAAGAGGTTGAATGCAAATTACAATGCGACGAATGTTGTATCAGACACTCGGATCTATAGCATTCATGGCTATGTCTCAGCGACCAAAGTACAGATCGAAAACCAGAATCATCCAACGGTTGCAACAAACATAAAACAAAAATATTTAATTAAATTAAAATTGTTCTTTTCTTCTCTCTCTCTCTCTCTTCTCACAGCACAACACAACACAACACAAACTCAGTACTAGTAATAATAAAATTAAAAACACACATATTTTTTACAATTAATAGAGTGGAAATTAAGAATAATACCAAATACTAGAACACATGTTGTTGTTGGATTTTGCTGCTTCCCTTAATAGCAAGCATCCAATTTTATTTTTTCAGTTTTATTTTCTGTATCTATTTTTTTTTAATGTAATGAAAATATTCCAATCAAAATAAAGTAAGATATGTGAATATTTTATATTGAAAAAAAAAAGTATATATTAAATATTAATAACTTTAATGTAATGAAAATATTCCAATGAAAAAAAAAAGGTATATTGCTAATATTGTACATGTAACCTTATCTTGAACGGCAAAACATAGGGCAAAAATCTAGGGAGGACAAAAATATTAATGCATAAAGTTTACGTCTTGCTTTACTTGCTAATCATAATAATTAGAGTATGTTTGATTTTAATCTAAAAAAAGAAAAAATTTATTTTAGAGGTTTGTATTAAATTTGATATTTTTAATTGATTTTATTTGGAAAAATATTAATGCATAAAGTTTACGTCTTGCTTTACTTGCTAATCATAATAATTAGAGTATGTTTGATTTTAGAGGTTTTGTATTTATGGAACATGTGAAAGTTAGCAGAAAATGGATGAAAAATGGTTTTCAATATAATAGAAAATGATTGAAGGGTGAGAGTTGAGATAGAGATGCATGAAATAAAGTTTGTATACATGATGCACATTGAGCTTTTAACAATTGAAGGGGAAATATCAAAGTGTGACCCAATAATGGTTAACTAACCCAATCTAGTTTAACTATAGTTTGACACTCCTCATTCTCTAGTTGGGAGATTCTAGCTCCTTACCTTATTGTGAGATTTTATGAAACAAGTTTCCAATATTAGTGTGTTTTAATGGATTTGGATAATATGGATAATATGAAGATTACCTATTAAGCAAAATATTGATAGGCATTTTTATGTCAGTCCCATATTTTTGGATAGTTTTTTTTAAATGAATTTGTTAGGTTAAATTCTATTTGCATCGTTTTTAACCGTTAATGTTGAAAGTAACTTCAAAACCGAATTTAAATTAATGTACTTTAGTTTAATATCTTTAAATTATTAGTGTTTAAAATCTTTTTCATAATCACATAAAAATTAAACTAAAAAATAAATAAAAAGTTGATCATTTTCGTCTCAATTTTCAACTTAGAAAAAAAAATCAAAAATACAACAACACTTAAAAACTATTACACTAAATGAGATTTGCTATATGGATAAAAAAATTTATAATATTTTATCCAAGATCATGCTTCTATCTAAATCATTAATCTCAAATTCTTTTTAAAAAATTTATGTTATAGTTTTTATATGTCTTATTCTTTCTCTAGTTGTTCAACTTATCTTCATTTGGTATACTCTTTTTACCGCTAAATCTATAAGTCTTTTCTCCACATGTTCAAATCACCTAAGTCTATCATCATCTTCTCTATTATAGGTGTTACCCCAATACTCTCTTTAATATGTTCATTTCTAATTCGATCATGACTAGTCTTACCACGCATTCCACGCAACATCATATACCTACTACACTTACTATATTCTCGTGTTAATTCTTAATCGTTTAATATTTTGCATTGTACAACATCGCAGATCTTACTATCAGTTGTTGAACTTATCTTCATTTGATCTACTCTCTTTATCACTAAATCTACAAGTCTTTTTTCTACATGTTCAAATCACCTAAGTCTATTTTTCATTATTTTATCTATTATAGGCGTTACCCCAACATTCTCTCTAATATGTTCATTTCTAATTCGATCATGTCTAGTCTTACCATGCATTCAACACAACATCATATACCTACTACACTTACTTTATTCTCATGTTAATTCTTAACCATTTAATATTTTGCATTGTACAACATCGCAAGTCTTACTATCGTTCGATGAAATTTTCTCTTTAACTTGAGTGGTATATTTGCGTCACAAAAAACACGAAAGATATCTTCCATTTCAATCACTCAGCTTAAATTAGATGGCTTACATTAGGTAGAGATGACAAATTTGACTCGTCTGCAATGGGTACCCGCAAAAATCAACCATAACAGGTGAGGTAAAAACCAGCAAAATAAGTATGGGCATGAGCGCAATCAATTATCCACTAAAATAAATGGATATTGGTGCAGGTACCTTAGTACCCACCCCCGCCCCATACTTGCACAATATATATTTGTTATTTCTCTGAAATTATGATTGGCGTACATTTTGGTTAAACCAACCTGGCAGCAATATGTTGAACAAGATGTTCCAACTTGTAGTTTTCAACATGTCAAATAAGATGTCCCAACCAGGAGGATTGGACAGTGTGTCTGCAACAGCTGGCAGTCGTGTTTCAACTGATATGTTAGTTATTGAATATTCAGGGAATATTCAGTTAGCTTATGTGGCATCCAAGATTGACAAATCAGAGATTCTATGTTGGTTTTCAAAGATATACAAAGTTTCTAAATATGGAGACATTTTAGGAAACTAATGATTGAAGACCTGTTTTCTTGGAGAAGATTTTGCAGACTTTGTACAACCTCACTGCTGCATTTTTGAAGTCCAATCCAGTCCAGAATAATGTTATATATTGATTAGTGTATACCTAGTTTTAGGTGGAACTTACGTGTGTATTTTGTTAGGGTTTTTAGAATCCTTATTGTTGGGTTGTAAGTTTTGTCAAGCATCCATAAGCTTTTAAGCATTGGATGTTTGTATGTCATATGCTCATAAGATTTTAAGTATTGAGCATTTGTGTGTCAGTTCTCTTAAGCTTTTAGGCATTGAGGATTATGTGTCTTGAAAGAGTGACTTCTTGTTTTTTGTTCTCTATTGTGTTTAAAGTTTCTCCAATCACTGAGTGTGATTGAAGAGGGATTTAAGGAGGGCTTCGTATCTAGGTGTGTCTTAGGTAGAAGTTAAGCAAAGGGTAGTGATTAAGTGCGTAGATTGTAAACTGGTATGTTTGTTGTGTGGTCTACAAATTGATACTATCTAGTTATTTTTGCCTCTGACTTGGTAGCCTCCGGAGTAGGAGAGTTGCTCCGAACTGGGTAAACATATATGTGTGTTATTTATGTTCAACAATGTTTGTTTTGTTTTATATCCTATTGTTGCATGTTAAAGTCTGATCTGGTGTCTCGACATCTCTTAGGACATACGGGATCTGACAGCCAGAATTTCAATTGATATCAGAGTCAAGCATCCTGCTCTGACTCTGGGTGATATTCAGGAAAGTTACTTTCTGGTGCAATAGACAAGGATGGTTGAACTGTGGTTAAAGTACCTATTTTTGATGGTACCAACTATGACAGTTGGAAACCTCATATTAGAAATATGCATAAAATCCCTGGGAAACAGGGCCTGGAAAAATATTGTCAAAGGATGGGATCCACCAAAGGCTATCGATGCAGATGGAAAGATTATTGATGTGCTGAAGCATGAAGAAGATTGGAATGATGATGATGAGTCATCATCTCAAGGAAACTCCAAAGTTTTGAATTCCATATTCAATAGAGTTGACAAGAATGTGTTCAAATTGATAAAGAATTATAAGAATGCAAAAGTGGCTTGGGAGACCTTAAGGAATGTTCATGAAGGAAATTTTAAGGTAAAGTTGGCAAAACTTTAACTTCTCTCCACCAAATTTTAGAACTTGAAGATGAAGGAGGATGAAAGTATTAAGGACTTTCACATGACTATTCTAGACATTACAAATGACTCAGGAGAGTTGGAACAGAAGATATCAGAGGATAAGCTGATCAGGAAGATGCTCAGATTTCTTTCAAAGAGGTTTGACATGAAGGTGATTGTAATTGAAAAATCCCATGATGTAAGCACTATGATTATGGATGAACTTGTAAGCTTTCTTAAGACCTTTGAATCTGCTATCAATGAAAAGTCTGAAAAGAAGAATAGTATAGCTTTTGCTTCTAGTATTGAAGACTCGGAGGATAGATGAAATGTTAACTCAGAAGGAGTATCTAAGGATCTTGTGCTACTGAGAAGACAGTTTAATAGGGTATCGAGGAAGTCCAGATTAAAAGCTAAAGACATGTCATTCGACATCAATAAAAACTAAGACCTGGGAAGGAAGTCGAGATTTGAAGAGAAGCCAAGCCAAGG